CATCTACGCTAATCTCTTTAGCAGCCGGCATTGTTGTTTATGAGCAAACAGTCACTTCTTACACGTTTGAATGGTTGAATGGTTTCGAGTTTTGGGGAGGATAAACCAACCATACCAAGTGTATCTTCTTTTTCATTTCTCTTGAGATAACACAATACACATGACAATAAATATGACACAGCATTAAACAGCAACGTTCATTTAGTTAAAAACACATCAATGAGCCACACTTTACAATCAGAGCTCTTACAGTCACTGCTGGTCACTTCATAGGATGGTCAAGTACAACAATATTCTGAAAATATTTCCATTACTAACATCATACTTATCTTAGAATTAAAATTGTGTTTTTATTTTAATTGTGTATGAAGGGGGAGGTTAAATTGATATGATACAACTAGAAAAACAAGAGGTGGATGGAGGGCTGCAAATGGCCCCCGGGGTGCGAGACCCCTGATTACAATGAACACACAATTATTTTGACTCAGTCTTACATACACCGTCTTGCTGCCCCAAATACTCACTAGAGCACCAAATGCGGATTAATCCACAGCTGAAAATAGTCCCCAACAAATGTACTATTTCCTCCTGTTTGTGCAACGTTTCATAAAAACTTCAGTGAGCAGAGACATTTAAAAAAAGATTTACTGACGAACTAACACATTGTTGGTTTACTCTTTTCATTGGATTTGTTGACAACAACAAAAATATACAATAAAGTATATAAAGATGATGTTAAATGTGTGTGTGTGTGTGTGTGTGTGTGTGTGTTGCAGGGCTTCCTCCCACCCCGGTTCAGCTACTGTATCCTGTATCTCGCTTCAGCAATGTGAAGTCACTACAACATCTCTGTCGCTTCTGCATCCGACAAATAGTCCGCATCGACCACATCCAGGAGCTTCCACTGCCCAGGTACTCCGCTCCTATAGAGTCATGTGATCACTTAAACATCCATCTGCTGAAATAGAGACTTCTTTGGTGTTAAATCCACTGTGGTCTTGCTTGTTTGATTGTGAGATTAAACATTAGTCTCCTTGCACACAGATCTGGGCAAATTCAAGCACATAAATCGGTTAGAGAAGGATGGAGACACACAACAGTGGGCTTGTTGTTGTGCTTAAAATGACCCTCAGGAGAATTTGTTGGTACCCAACCAAGAAAATAAAAAGCACCACAGCCAGTTCTTGTGACATTTTTCAAAGCCTGTCAGGAAGCTGCCTGAGGATTTCGAAGCGTGTTGTCCAGACCTCCATGATTTTAATGATATCGTGGTGCAGCTATTCAAAATAAGCCCCATGCTAATACTCATAACATATGCTGAGTGATGCAGATTCAACTGTCAACTATATGCATGTACTAATACAACGAACACAGGCACATGCTTGGCTGACCAATGTTTTTTCTCTCTCAGACCACTAATATCCTACCTGAGTAAGTTTTATTACTACGACCCCGAGGAGGAGATGTACCTGTCAATCAAGAGCATCCGGAGGGTGGTGGGAGCAGAGCAGGAGGCTGAGTCGCAGACGTAGCAGCAGAGATCTTCTCAGCTCAAGTGAGTGCGGAAAATTTTTAGACAGTTTCTCCTGGAAGACATTCATAGTGTTGAACTTGGTTGTTCACACGGAAACTGAAAGAAATTGTTTTGTGAAGAATGAAAACACAGAGCTAGAGAGAGCCCCTCCCAAATCCAATGTGGAAAAGGGGTGAAGGTAGGGGGTTTGATGGAGTAAACTGGTGCCTTAAAGATTTTATATATATGAAATTCACTTGCCTCTTGATGTCGCACTAGAGCACCAGCATCTCAGACCCAAACAATGGGACAGAAATGAAATAAAAATCACCAAAAACCACCAAAGCTAGGCTGGTTGAAATAAATCCTTAATTCAATAAGTTAGTGAAAATATTTGGGAAAAGGGCTGCAAAGACGTTCTTTCTGCCACTGACAGACTCAGGTTGTTATTGTCAGTGTCTGACATCATTATGGAAAG